CATCTATATTCTAGCAGTTTTTAATACTCAGTGCTTCTGCCCAAGGCCCATTATTAAGGAAATCATTACTTCCCATTTAATATTTACAATATTTTCAATAATATTTCTATTAAAAGAAATATTGAATAAGTGACCATTGTCAGAAACACAGGGCTGTGTTCATTAAAATATTATAGGAGTTATGAATATGTAGTCTAAGACCTGGAAATAAGTAGCAGTGATAGAGGGATAGCAAAACCAAAAATAATCATGAACTCCCAATTCAAGTAGCATCAAATATACTGGAAGAAAGGGTCTGAGTTAGCTAAGAAATCATGGGTTCATTTTGCCTTTACTCATTAAAAAGAAATAATAAAGTTACTTAGACTATGTGCCAGGTGCTGGTCCAGCTTCTGAGGACACAGCACAGAAGTATGTAACAGAGGTTAATCTGATGATAGATGGATGGGAGGATACTTTGAATAATCAACCAGCATGATATTCCCCCAATTTCCACCCTAATATAAAAGAACAGAAGCAGTTCAAGTTTAAGGTTGATCTTTCATGAAGTGACATTTGGTAGGTGTCTTCCAGACACTTCTTTTCTCCACACCTGTTTGCTGTGGCCTGAAATTCTATTATGAGAAGACAAACCATTGTTGCCACAATTGCAGAAAAATAATAAAAGATTCAACTGCCAAACAGAACTAACACACTAGCTGGAATGTACTCATTTAAAAAAGTATAATCGGGTAATAAAACACACAGTGAATATGATCAAGTCCTTTACAGGCTTTGATAATGGGGAGAAAATTAGAGACCTCAGACAGCCATGGACATTTTAAGGTAAAAGCAGAATCATTAGTGAGGGAAGAACAAGTAAAAATGAAAATCTACTTATACTTCTGGCTCAGTCTGCCTTCAATTCTATGGACAAATAAAACGCATGGCAGAGGACACTGTGAAACAGACCCTCCTGAATACGCACGAGAGAAGCACAAACATCCATCATTAGCAGATGAAGTAGATCAGCATCGCCTCATATGTTTAACGAACTTGTCTCCTGGCACTGATTTGTTGACTGGCTTAGCACTCAACTTCTTAGAGACTTATTTCTGGAGAATTAACCAATGAAGGAATTTTTGTCCTTCCCCGAGATTAACTCACAGCTACGTACCACTTCAATTAGACAGGTATCTGCCCCACAATAGTGTATCTCCCTGACAGACATTCCACAAGGGAAAAAGGAAGGAGAGGGTCACTCAAAAGAATAAAACATTCTATCAAGGAGAAGATGGTAATTCAAAACTCTAAGACATGTTATTTGATTTTTTCCCCAACTATTATCTATTCTTTGTTTGTCAAAATAACACTTGTGTATTGGCTGAGGGAAGTGGTTTCTATCTCAAGGACTATAAAACTACTCTCTGTTTATAAAAAGAGCATGTGTTTGCTTTTTTTAATCACACATGGCTATCATCTCCCAATGATTTTTGCATTATTCCAAAGAAAGGGAAGTTTTTACACGATAAAAGCAATTTGCACATATGAGTTCACTACCTGAAGCCATGGAAAACAGAAAATATACAGATGTATGGAAAAGAAAGAAAAAATATGTTTTGCTGTAAAATGAATTTGAACTAAAACTTTTTTTTTAATGGTGACAACACTGTTAAGCCAGGGGGTGCTGCAATATGGTGAATCAATTTTACTCAATTTTACTGTTTGAACATGGCACTTAGTTGTTTTATGCCAAACTTCTTAAACTGTAACCTGAAGACGGTTCCAAGATCCAAACAAGAGTATTTAAAAAGATAAGCTGATAACTTTAAGGTAAAGTTTGATGTAAAGTTTAGGGTAGGACACAAAGATACTCATTCCATTCAGCTTGGGCCTTAATCCTGGTGGTTAATTGGAAGAACAGCATAGATTTCAAACAACTAATTAAGCTAATTTATTTAAAACTTCAGCACAAACAAATCTGAATATTTGTATTCTACTCTCACAGCAAAGAACGTTCCATATGTGAAGAGATGAGAGGAGAAAAGAGGAAGAAAAATACTACTAGCCAAGAATCAACTTTAATTTTAAATTACCTCTATATGTGAGCTGAGACTTTTGTCAAAGTATCAACCAATACTTAAAAAAAAAAAAATCAGGGAATTAATTAGATGTTTAAAAACAAAAACACTTTCATTTTGACTTATCTTTTCCTTTCAGAACTATCAAACAAAAGTTTTTTAGAGGATTTATTCAATGTGCTAAGACAAAATTTTGGCATCTCTGACAAGACAGTATCCTCCAAACTACTCTCTAAAATCCTTAAACATTCTACTTCGGGCAAGGGTGGGTTTTGCAGGAATGGGAAAGAAATGTGTTTCTTTCATTTCTACCTGCTTTTTACTTTAGGTTTTAGCCCATTTCTAGCCTCATTTTGGGACTCCCCTCAAATGGAGAATGACTTCTGGCATAGGACAGTGAAGGACCAATATTAATTGTCTGTCCAGACCAAAGCAATATAAATGCATTTGACAGGTGGTTAGAAAGGAAAAAAAAGAGACCCAGGTGTATGCTATTTGGGGAATAACTATACAGTGGTCCAGTAATCCTAACCTCTACCCAGTTAGGATGGCAGCATCTCTAGAAAATATAGCTGGCAAACTGAGACCTGCATGAGATGATCTATACAAAAAGTTGCTCATATATGATGTCCTGCTGTTTTTCATTTAAGTAGCATGGAACTAGTCGGTGTCTGTCACAGACTGCTTGTGGTTAAGGGTCCTGGGCACCAAAATGGCCTCTGTAGTATGCACACAAGTTCTCTATTCTCATGCATTTTTTTTTTTTTTTTGCGGTACGCGGGCCTCTCACTGCTGTGGCCTCTCCCGTTGCGGAGCACAGGCTCCAGACGCGCAGGCTCAGCGGCCATGGCTCACGGGCCCAGCCTCTCCGCGGCATGTGGGATCTTCCCGGACTGTGGCACGAACCCATGTCCCCTGCATCGGCAGGCGGACTCTCAACCACTGTGCCACCAGGGAAGCCCCTATTCTCGTGCATTTTATGAAACGTTTTTCTTTGTGGAAAACATCCAGTAAAAGCTTATGCAATTTCATCTAACTACAAATTCAGGATAAGCACTTGGGTTTTAACCCCAAGTATTTCAGATGGTAAAATAAATTCATCTTCTCATCTATGAAATACGTGAACTGTTTTAGATAGCCTTTACCACAGCCTCTTTGGGTTCTAAGATTGCCTCTCCTCATTGTGTATCTTTTCCTTATTAAACTGCATATACTCAACAAAGGGTCAATTTTTAAAATTTGTATCTGTGTTTTTCTTAGGAAACAAGTCAGCTAGTAAGGAAGCAATGTTCTGTTGAATAGAAAAGACAAAAAAGAGAAGAAATAGATTGGGGGGGGACTGGAGAAATTATAGATAAACTTATCCTGGGATAGAAAACAACGAAGAGCATCCCCCCAAATTATAAAGGAAACACAACATAAAGAAGGTCTTGGTGCATTGTATTAAAGCTAACAAGAGGTAGAAACTTCCAAGATGACACTTGAGATTTGAGTTTGAATTTGACTTGGCAAAACATGAACAAATAAACAAGCAAACAAAAAGATTAGTTCCTTCCAGCTAGTTCAGACTTGTTACAACTTTTCCCCTTGGCAGGGAGAAAGATCCAAATATAGACATTCCTCCCTCTGAGGGAGATTCTTGGATTTAATGGCAAAGGACACCTTTTCTAGATTTCCATCTTTGCTCCATGTGTTTTCTATTGTTTGGGTTTTTCTCAATTTAGGGTACAAGCATTTTTTTCCCCTTTATTTAAAGTAAACTATTCACCAGTCTTGACTCAAATGAGGTTTATCTGCAGTGAAAAGACTGACTTCCATGTGAGGGGGATTCCACAAAGAAAAAGGATAATAAAGATATGGGATGTGAACAAACACCTCTCTATTCAATTTTACCAAAATTGTGAATTATGCTTTGTTTGTGTTTGTAGAGCTGCCTCTTTCAATATATTTTCAATAGACAACAAGGCACCAAGAACGCTGAGTAAATAACAGATGTTAAAAATAGCTACTACCTAACAACGTTACTGGAAGAATTAAAGTGCAGAAAACTCTGTCACATGTAAAGCCAATTTAAAACAAAGGCTGGCATAATACTGGTTCTTTGGTTCTTTTCAAATTAATAAAACACATTAGCTCCAAACACATCTCTCTCACTTAAAACTATTTGGGTTGTTTTCAGTTTGTTTCTTTTCAACCCCCACTAAAATACACAATAGTGGATACTATTCTTGGTGTAATTTTGCTTTTTTCCCTTCATCTTTTTTAAAAAATATATATCCAGAGTGCCAGCATACATCTGCATGTGTGGACTATACATATGCCTTGTTTTCATACTCGGAGAGCACGGAAATTCTTCTTAAAGAAAGACTCTTTATACCAGATTCCATTAGGTCATGTTATTCAAATACAATATGACACAAAATTCATTTGTTCATTTGGTGTCTAGCTACTAAGGAATACAGCCAAAAAGTTAACCTTTGCAGAACAACAGAATACCAGTAGAGATCCTGATCATTGCCCATAGGCATGTACAGAACCTCTGAGCAAGGGGAACTACACTTTTGTATTAAAACCTAGAAGAGCATAGCATTATTGGGAAACTGCTATTTCTACCCCATATACAATGAAATAAATGCAGTGACTTCCATTCTACTTGCAAAAGCCCAGTAGCTTTTCTAGACCTCTCAAGTCATTTAACATATTTTAAACAGAAGCCCTATCACTTCTGCCTTTAAATAGCAAAACACAACTCCTGAAAAACCAAAGGTGCTGAAATGTCCCTTCAAGCCCACCAAAGGCAATGATTTAACTTTGCTTTTCTTAAAGACCAATTTCTACAGAGGAGTGAATCTGACAAAGCAGTGAACACCATCTAAAATCATTTTTGAAAGTCTCACCTAAGTTACTATTCACATGTAAAAAATGCTGTCTATTACTTACATTTTGCTGTCACTTTGTAGCCCCCCAGAGGAGGGGCGTGGCCTTCTAATGCATCAAATCCAGCAGAAACCAGGACAATGTCCGGATCAAACTCTTTGGCCACAGGCTTCACTATAGTCCTGCACGGTAAAAAGGCAACCAGTTACCCATGGGAATGGCAAATACCTTTAAAAATTGTGCAGTGAAAATGACTTGGTACAACCTCAAGAACATCCCAAGAATAAAGAAAAGGGGAAAAGAAAACACTATTTGAATGGACCAAAAACTTATCATTTTCTTAATACTGAATCACTGTTATTTTAGCATCCCAATTCAGTCTTTTTTCTCCAAATTAAGAAAAAAAAAATGCTTTGCAGGTACATTCTAAAGCCCGTCATATTACATGAACATCTGTGGCTGTTTTATCCCACTGCCTATAAAAAACTGCTTCTTCCAAGGGAGTGACTAATGTTTTACAGAGGAAAGTCGAAGCTTTAGTGAAAACCCGGCTTGCTCCAGTTAGTGAGAACTTGGTGTAAATTTGAACTATAAATTTCTTTTGGGAAAAAGTTGCTTTTCCAACTTTTTTTAAGAAACATTTTAAAATGTTTGTCGTGGTAGGGGGTGACTCTTGCAAAGGAAAAACACGAAATTCCTTTAATAGAATCCAGATTATAATGTTAAGCGAGTCCAAGGTCAGAGACACCAGGAATGTGGCAGTCTCATCCCTGACAGCAGCCCCTGCTGGTCCCACTCAGACACTTCAGCACTTACCTCCTCAGCCTTCTCAGCCTTCCCTAACCCCTTCCTCCTCAGAGCTGGATTTGAGAGAGAATGACTAGTGGATGCTACTGGGCTTTATAAAACCAAATGGTTTTTTGCTGCAGGCTTCAAGACCAGTGTGCCATCATTTAAATTCAAAATTTCAAAGACTATTTAATGAAATGGGAATAGTTCACACTACCGTGAATTTAAAAATTAGTAAGTTCTCTTTTGTGTGTTTGGGAGAAACAACTAGACCAAATATTAAAATAGCTATCGTTGAACGATGACATAATTAAGTTCTTCTAACTTTTGTATATTTGCAAATTTCCCATATTTTTTACAATGACCACATATTAGTTTTATACTTAAATCTTTTTGCATGTAAACAAGAAGTTGTTCACGTTATAAAATAAAAAAATACTTATTTGAAACTTACCTACATAGAGATAAAAATGAATTAAATATCTTTCTTTCATAACTGTACTACTGTCATAAAAGTATAAATGTTCAATCCTTCAAAATCATAAATGTACATGTAAGTGACTTCCACGATAGCCTTGCCAACATTTGGAAAGCTACTTATACCTGAATTGGCCCGTCTGTGAAAGTGAAAATTTAATTTTGTTTACCATGTACCACTTCATTATTTTACTCTTCAGTAAAATTAAGAATCTCTAACACATTATCAGGAGAGATATGCAATACTGTTCCTTCCTAATAATACCAATAATTTTTTACAAAAGTGTCACATGTTATGAAGACACTACTTTTCATATGTGTGAAATAGCCATGTTATGTATGTTGTTGGAATATTAGATGTTGGAATAAATTGTCTCAAAGAATCAAGAGTGTTTTACCAAGGCACTCCATCTATTTAGCTTGATTAATCCTATGTACAATCTTAGAGAACAAACACTACACTCTTAGGAAAATATGGAGGTAGATGATTAAGCAATGCTGTCCCTTCAGTCATATGCATTACAGTAACCATGCATTATAGTTTTCCACCTCCTTTCCCTCTCTTTGGAAGATTTCCTCCCCTACTATTCTTTCTCCCCAGTCAATCTATACTTGTAAGATTAATTGAAGGGTAAACATCCTTCAAGGCACAGCTCACTTACTACCTTCTCCATAAAGGCTTCTCTCTACATATGGATATAAAATGTATATGTATATATTTTTGAAAGACAAAGATAGAACAGGAGACAAGGTCTGCAAACATAATTTTAGAATATGGGAAATTTACAGATGATGTACAGAGGGGAAAGCTGAAGCATAAGTGTAAATCTGCAGAGAGGGAAAAAAGCAAGCTGACTTTTCTCTGTCTTCCTGGAGGAACAAATTGGCCAAAGAGAAAATACCTAGAGAGACTGACATTTCTGAGTCACTCAGACCAACAGTCAGGTTTTTTCCTCTATTTTCCTATAGTGAATTCACCAGTCAAAAAGGCCCCCTCAGTTATACAGAGCTCTCACTTATCTTTTCAATGCCCCTTTCTCAAATATGATGGACTGTGTGAAGAAAGTTTCTAGCATGAAAGACAAGAAAAGTAACATGCAAACAAATGAATAAATGAAAGGGAACTCTGCAAACAAGAGAAAATGCAGGGAAGAGACTATAATTACAGAAATTTTGATTATCCTCAAAGACATAATACATCTATGAAATGAAAAGAGGGTGCTATTAAGAAAAAGAAGAAACAGCAAACAAAATGTGTAATAGACTTTTTAGAAGATAAAGTTGACAAATTCTCTCAGAAAGTACAACACAAAACGGAGATGTGAAAAACAGGCAAGAAAACTGAAGGACCCATTTAGGAAATTATGTTATGAAGGAAAGTCTAAGGAAAATATTTTAAAAATTATAATCTCATATACATCCAAGTTGCAAAACTGAGTAGATAATAGAGTTTCAGATATTTAAAATATCAAACAAAAAGATATTATCTCCCACAAACATTATCAAAGGAAGGTATTGGATGCCTCCATCAAAATGAAGGCATAAACTAAAAAAGAGAATGAGACACAAACCATTCCCTCCAACAAAACATTTTTGTAAATGTCCATTTTTGCCATAATTTAAAAAAAAAGGTCTAACCTTAGAACAAAATAGAAATTTGGTCTGCAATTGGAAATTTGATATGGACTGGAGTTGGTTTTAATTCCAATGCAACTATTTTGTTAATAAAGACCTTACCCACTTACAGAGGAAATATGTTTATTTGGAGATACGCTACATATCTCCAAATATACAGAATCCACTAGTTTCTGTCTGAAGCAAATACCACATTTGTTATGTATGTTATTCCTGAATATACAAACATGGATTTTACAATTTCACACAGGCTTTCAAAATGCTCTATTTCACAAGACTAATCCTATACACTTGAATTCACTCCAAAAAATAAGGAAAAATGGAAAATTTGAAAAACAATACATCACTTGATAAACTCCTTCCATTTAAAAATATACATGCTTAGAATTGTGTCCGAGTAGTAGCTGTTTGTTGAATGAGTCAATGATGCACTATTATAAGAGTTGTGTAAAGCTATGCTACAATAGATTCTGGGTATTGAAGAACTCTATGATAACAGGTGCTTATTGGTGGTGATATTGATAAGGTTCATTCAGGCATTTTAACAAGTATGGATTCAGTGTCTACCATGTTGCAAATACTGTTTGGCTTAAAGATGTGCTAAATTTTGAACTGAAACTTATTTATTTTCCCATTGTTAGTATTAAACTCTTTAATACTCAGTTCTCTGATAAACTGATGAGACTAAGACTCCACAGATCTCCTTATTGTGGCAAGTATTTTAGCAATGTACATGGAAGTGTTTGTACTCTTCTTTTTATGTTAGTCTAGATTGATATTTATTCAAAAGATCTATCATGTTTGAAAGACTGAAAATATATTGGGAGTACTGAGTGGGGAAAATAATATAATTTTTCTTAAATAGAACAAATCCTCAAAGGCATTTATTTAATATTTTATCTGAATTATTGGATTTTATGGTAAAACACAGCAAACAAAGCATACGTGTTAGTCCCTCATTATTTCCCAATATCCCACTGGAAGAAAATTATAAAAATATACATATGGGGGCTTCCCTGGTGGCACAGTGGTTGAGAGTCCACCTGCCGATGCAGGGGACACGGGTTCGTGCCCCGGTCCGGGAAGACCCCACATGCCGCGGAGTGACTGGGCCTGTGAGCCACGGCCGCTGAGCCTGCGTGTCCGGAGCCTGTGCTCCGCAATGGGAGAGGCCACAACAGTGAGAGGCCTGTGTACCACAAAAAAAAAAAAAATGAACTCATGGCTTTAAATATATAGCAGGCAAACAGACCCAGAAAAACCTTTAGATATGTGTGTATGTATGGGTTATTACGCATTTCCTAAAAGCAAAGACAGCACAGTAGCAAACAGTACAGTTAGCAACAATCTGCAAAAAAAGGATCCAGGGGAGGAGCTTCAAGATGGCGGAGGACTGAGACATGGAGATCTCCTTCCTCAAAACAAATACATCAGAAATACATCTACATGTGGAACAACTCCTACAGAAAACCTACTGAAAGCTGGCAGAAGACCTCAGACCTCCCAAAAGTCTGAGCTGTGTAGATGACAGGCTCTTTGCACTCCAGCCAGGTGTCAGGGCTGTGCCTCTGAGGTGGGAGAGGCAAGTTCAGGACACTGGTCCACCAGAGACCTCCCAGCTCCATATAATATCAAATGGCGAAAACCTCCCAGGGATCTCCATCTGAACGCCATGACTCAGCTCCACACAATGACCAGCAAGCTACAGTGCTGGACACCCTATGCCCAACAAGTAGCAAGACAGGAACACAACTCCATCCATTAGCAGAGAGGCTGCCTAAAATCATAATAAGGTCACAGACACCCCAAAACACACCACCAGACATGGGCCTGCCCACCACAAAGACAAGATCCAGCCTCATGAGCCAGAACAAAGAAACTAGTTCCCTCCACTAGGAAGCCTCCAAAACCCACTGAATCAATCTTAGCCACTGGGAACAGACACAAAAAACTGGAAACTACGAACCTGCACCCTGCGAAAAGGAGACCCCAAACACAGTAAGTTAAGCAAAATGAGAAGACAAAGAAACACAAAACAGATGAAGGAGCAAGGTAAAAACCCACCAGACATAACAAATGAAGAGGAAATAGGCAGTCTACCTGAAAAAGAATTCAGAATAATGATAGTAAAGATGATCCAAAATCTTGGAAATAGAATGGAGAAAATACAAGAAACATTTAACAAGGACCTAGAAGAACTAAAGAGCAAACAAACAATGATGAACAACAAAATAAATGAAATTAAAAATTCTCTAGAAGGGATCAATAGCAGAATAACTGA